CCCCCCCAGGGCGGGGGGGGGGGGGGGGGGGGGCAGCGCAGGGGAGCACATCACAAAAATGGCGGCCCCCTGCCAAGATGGGGCCACAACATGCATGAGCTGGGCTCACAATTTAAACCAGACCTTATGGATAAGCATTTCCTTGAAGCTTTCTCTAGGTCCTTCTCTGCAACTTCCCTATGGTACTTTTACACTGTTAATGTAAAAGCTTGCAGCTTACTGAAAACTGGAGACGAGTACAATATATTGAACTTAAAAATATTATAAGAGGAAAACATATTAACTTAAATATTTCCTTTTAAGTTTAATTCAAGAAAAACCTCTGTTCCTTTACTTACCTGAAGATGCTACAGAATTTCCACTAAAGTGCTGCAGGAACCAATGGGCCTTCTGCATATTTGGGTTCTGTTTGTTATGAGCAATGACCATATATATTTATGCTTTATTTTGGGATTCAAGTGTTTTGTGTGTCTGCCATCTTTTACAATATCTCCCTAACCCCTGGTTTTTACTTGTTCCTAAAACCCAAGTGCAGATTCAGAACTACAGAGAAAAAGGGAAAATCTAGTCATTGGACCATCCCTGAAACAGACACAGAATCATTAGTACAAATGAGAGGCATAAGGTTGAACCTATGGAGAGAGTGGGATAACTCTTTTTGCTCTAAAAAAAGAAGTTAGGATAAAGACTAAATGTATGGATGCAACAAATTACACAGCATTTAAGAATGTAGTCTGGAAAGACAGGTTAAGATACAATGGTTGAATACCTTAGCAGTTGAATGAATGCTGTGCTATGAAGTACTTCTAAAATGTTTTGCTGTCAAGTTCACTACAAGCAAAACAATAAAGCATAACAATAAAATTATTTAATTCATATGTTTAAAATCATGTGTTTAGTTTAATTCTATTGTGAAAAAATATAAAAGCTCTATTGAATACAGTATATAGTTAGTCAAAATATATTTGAAATACTGTATCATATAACATTCTGCATCATTGATATGAATCATGTAAATTTATTTCATATCATGACTTTTTAGTGACCTACATAAATTCAATCAATGAATCAATGAATCTTAGTTCAATATTTAATAGGAAATGTCTGTCACAATCACAAACCTCACTGATAGTAGTCTAACCAAAAAGGCCAAGGACTGAACCAGTATTCAAAGGAAAAAAAACTATTTTTTCACTCCACTAGATGGTTCATCTCCAAGTGAGTGATTAGGCACATTGGCAAAGTAGTGTGGAACACCCTAACAGACCTCAGCTATGTGCATCTAGTTGGCTAAGCTGCAGAACTGATACCTTTTAAAAGCATATTAACATTTTAATAATTTTTAAAGACAAAGTGTGATTCAGTACTACTACATAATAATAAGATCCCATGGGACCAGGAAAAAACATTATTAGGAGGGTTTACATTAGAATGGGTTTAGTCAATCTAAAGCATTATAATTTGGGGGGGGGGGGGGGGCGGGGGGGGGGGGGGGGGCGGCAGGAGGGGAATCCAGTCTTGCTGTTGGGACTGTTTAAAGCAGGGGTTTATCATAAATAGGTTTCCTTATAATAAGGTTGTCCTGCATTTCTAAACAAACACATTTAGAAAACAAAATTAACAACATATATTTCAACCTCGTTATATACAAATTCCATAAAATAAAACATATTTTTATTTAAAGAGATAAGAGACAGAGGTATGAAAATTTAGCCTCTTAGGAAATCGTAATTTAGTTTCATAAACAGCATTTAAAAAATGAGGGTAGACTATGATTTGATGCCATACCTTTACGTTTTTATGACTGCATATTGTTAAAAAGAAATAAATCATAATCTGTAAACATGATGGTTTACGCTTACATACCACAATTAATATGAATATTTGAATGCTAGTTTCTGCACTTAAAACACACACGTACCTTTTCCTAAATGTGTATTTATACTCATGTATCTAGCTGTTCCTGTAAGGCTCTTGTGTTCTCGATATGGTATGTGCTTCTTTGTTTCTGGATCTATATATTCCTTTGCCAAACCAAAATCTATAATATGAATAATTTGCTGGTTTTTGTTTCCAGGACGTCCTATTAAGAAGTTCTCGGGTTTTACATCTCTGTATATCAAGTTCTTTGAATGGACATATTCCATACGAGAAATCTTTATTAAAGAGAAGAAAGGACAGAAAGTTTAGTTTAAGTTTAGTTTACCACAAGAAAGTGTGGCAGAAGCAAAAGTATTGTTACATCAGCTTTTATATTTTGAAGAAACCAGAACTTTTAAATCCAACCAGAGTACTCTTTCAAAATATACTTGTTCACATTCAGTGTGCATTTCAACTCTTAACTCCCACTTAAGGAAATAGCAAATATGCATAAAGTGAATATGCTCTATCATGGGCACAGACAGAAGAACAGCTCCCCATTGCAACTCATAGCAATTTTCAGGAAGCACTGTGAGTTGTGACAATACCCCAGACCAAACAGAAGTTTGTTGCTGGGTCTGGGAGTTGGGGATTGCAGCTGCTTGCTGCAAGGCTGAAGCCCAGTCTCCACTGCACGCCACTCCCCCCTCCCAGCCTGTCACCATTTTCAGAATGGGAGGGGAAAAGGGAGCAGAGGGAGCTCCTTCTTGGGGTTCCCCATCTGGCCTGGAGGGTGGGGTGGGTGGATTGAAGCCCCACCACCACCTCCAGGGGCAGGGCTCCAATATACCTGCCCCAACCTCCGGAGCTAACTGAAAAAAACCCAAACCAAACTCTGTTTGCTCCCTTTGTCCCCTCCCATTTGGAAAACAGCCACAGGCTAGGAGGTCCACAAATTACAGAATGTGCTCTGTTTTGGAGTGTGTTCTTCTGAACCCTCATGCAATGAGGGTTCAGATTTTCATGGGGTTGGGCCCTTTTAAAGCAGTCTGAAGCCATGCACTTTATTTGGTCACAGCTGTAGCCTGCTTTCTGGGGCCAGATCAGACAAAAATTGTCACTTCTGCCTGAGCCCCATTTGTACACAATCTATACTTACAGCCTCATATAAATCAAAGCATAACAAAGGTTACAAAGAAATAACAAAGTCAATTGTGAACAATTAATCACAGAACACTTTTTTTTGTGGAGATGCAGCTGCATATGGAAACTAAATCTTTGAATTATGCTATTACGTTGCTGCCCATATTAAGGAACCACACAGGTATATGATATGTTATATAAACTTTAGCCAGTACATCACCAATGTTTGTGTAACCTCTCCTAGGTAAACAAGTTCAGGTTCAGTTAACACAGTTTTTTAATATTTGGAAAAGGAATACAATTGTTAAATAAAGATGACTTTGGACTTGTGGTGTTAAAGCATTCATTAAATTAAAAGGCTTATACCATTGTTTCTATACATAAACTGGATTTATTCCCTGTCCCCACCCTTGAAATTTAAGGAACACACATACTGATTACATCATATGTCCTTTGTTATCTAGTTAGAATAGCTTTTATAAATAGAGAACATTTTTACTCCTTGTAAAAAGGTGCCACTACCACTCAATTATCCAAAAACCTAATGCTCTAGCTTTTAAATCATTAACATTTTAAGAGCAATAGTTATTAAAGACAAAACTGAATTATGGACAAGCCAGCACTGTTTGGCTTTTACTCCGATCTGGTAGAAGGCAAAGCCAAAAGATGGTTTTAAAATACTCTATTGTTAAGATTGTGTTTGTATTTTTGCTATTTCCCTTTGCTGAGTTCATTGCTAAGAATATGGAAGGAAGCAAGTGCCTACATTGTTTACCATTCCATCTGCCTATCACTTACCCTGAACAAAAATGGTTTTCTTATGACCAGGGATCCAGGTTTTCCGTTTCCCATGGAAAAACGGAGAAAACGCAGATTTCTCTTTTTATCATGTAAATCCGCGAATTCTCTGCTTTTGCAAAGAGCTCCTGAAGGCTGGCTCAGCTCCAACTTGCAAGAGCCAATTGCAAAAAGGGCGGGAGACCCCCTGGCTGGAAGTGGGGGGGAAAGGGTAGGTCTAAACCTCTGAGGCAGCCAAGCCTGGGCTCAGGCTCAGACTTGCCCTTTGCCCCTGGAGCATAGAGATAAGTGGGGCTGTGGGGCAGGGCTGGGGAAGATGGTTGGGGGCTGAGGGAGTGGGGGGTGCTGATGGCCCCAGGCAGCACATCGCAGCTGGGAGCAGGGCCAGGGGGTGAGGGCAGGGGTGCCCCTCTGCAGAGGCGGGCTTTGCAGGCAAGCAATGAGGGGTGCAGTGTGGTGGTGCCCACCATATGCTGGCCGCACACATGCTGCCCAGCCAGCTGCCCAGGGGAGGGGGAAAAGGAGGCTTACATGCCGCTGGAGCACAGCTCCGTGGCGGGCTCTGCAGCCACGGTGAGGGATGGGGGACACCGCTGGCACAGGTGGCCTCACAGGTAAGCGGCAGTGGCCGCCCGTGCCAGCAGTGACTGCCGCTGCCTACAAAACCTCCCGCTGCCGCCGCGGAGCCATGTCCGGAGCTGTGTGGCCGGTGGCAGCAGCACAATGTGGGGTGGTGTTGGGGATGGCTGTGTGCCACCCGGCCACCACCACGCTGCCGCTTGGCTGGGCAGCACGTATGTGGCCCGCACACGGTGGTTGCCACTGCACTGCTGCTGCCGCACCCTGCACCACTTGCCCACAAAGCCGTGCAGGTGGTCACGGGATGGTAGCTCACGGTGCAGTGGCAGAGTTGTGGTGACAACCTCCATGTGTGAACCTCCTGTCTGGCCGGCCGGCATGTGTGTGGTCCACAGTGCTGGGGTGGGTGTCAGTGTCTGTGTCTGCATGTGTGGGTCTGGGGGGCTGTTGCAAGGGCATCAGGAGGGCTGTTGAGACTGTGGGGGGGAATGCAGGGCACCAGCAGTACTGGGGGTGGGCTGTGGGGGGCCTTTAATTTTTTATCACGGATTTTGGGGTTTTAAATCAGAGAATTTGTAATTTTTAAATCAGAGAAAACCAAGATCCCTACTTAGGACACCACAGGTGGTTTTCTGGAAATGAGCCGTGTCAAACTATGATTTCTAAGTTCAGGTTATGATTAAACACGAGCTCTTCAGAACATGATAATGTTGCCTTTGTGCAATTGTTCTTAATGACTATAGCAACAACATAAGGCAAAGAAAACCAACAGATGTAAACGAAACTATTTAGAAGCAAGAAGACCCCCATATATTTTCTTTAGGGACATATAAAATACAAAGCTTTTTACCAGTTGAATAGTCACTTAAGTGAGCTACAAAGAGTGACCATGTACTGGTCTCTCAAACTCAATTTAAATACATACATAAAGATACATATATTTTACACTTACTTACCAACTGTATGGCTATCATAAGAACGGTTTTAAGAGAAAATGTCCTATCACACAGGTCAAATAAATCTTCCAAACTAGGTCCCAGTAGTTCTAGCACCATGGCATTGTATTTGCCACAAGGGCCAAAATAGTAAACCTGAGGTATACCATCTGGAAAAGAAAAAAAATACAGTTAGTTATAGAATGCTTATCTGAATTTAACATATATTCATTTTTCACATAACAAAATTAATGTTAACACAACCAGGTAGAGATGCAATTAAAAAATGATCAAGTCTTACAAAACAAGGAAGGATTATATAGTGCCATGAAAATTATAAAAATTAAAGACACTACCTTCATTGCTCCTATTGTAACAAGTTATAACTGTAAAGGCTCAGAGCTTTTTTCCTTTAAATGAAAATCCACCTGCTATGCATTAAACGTAAGGGCAAGAGTCATTTCTTGAAAAAAACTGTACTTCAATTACTACACAGAAAATATAAAAAATGAAGTTTTGCAAGATAAAAATGATGCCTAAATTAAATACTTAAAGCTAATATATTTATTTTTAAAACAAACCTGTTCTAAATTAATTATAAAATACATTTTTAATTTAAATTTACTATAAGCTATTAAAATAATTTTAATAAAACATGTTGCTGCATCAAAAAGCCTTCCTCCAAACAGTAATGCATTAAATGTTTTTGGTTTAATTATATACGGAACGGAGGGGGAAACAAAAAACTTAACCCCAAGTTAATATGAATATTTGATGTTCTTTTGCTGCATTATGTATATTTTCAGCCTTTAGCAAAAGAACAACGCTGATATGTGCTTTCTGCCCCACAAGTATAACTACAATTATAACAGCATTTATACTAGTCTTTTCTTTTAATTTAATGATATAGCTGTTATCAATCAGGGATTTCCCCCATACCCGTTTCAAAGGTCCTACCTCATTCACTGCATGGAATAAACAGTGTTAATTTAATAAAGTTATTTAATATCTGCCCCATTGTTTGGGGACACTATCTAAACCCACCCTGAAGACAAAACTGGTCTCGTTTCGTCATTGGTTTCCTTATGAGCTAGTTCTAAGGTGTATCCAAGTGTTTTACATATCTTAATAAATATATTCTCATAGCATTCCTTGGATAAGCATAATTCTCTGTTTTTGAAGGGTGGTTTGGAAATAGAAGTTGTAGCCAAAGGACCACTCAACTTAAATGTTCATTTTGAGGTCTCTCTCTCGCCTCTTTTTTTTTTTAACAGTACTTTTGTTTACATAGCGCTTGTGTCCAGGCTATGTACAGACAATCAAAAAGCCAGAGGCTGAATCGATTCAGTCTCTGCAGGTTAGTGTAAACTGCAGAGATTAAACTGAGAAACAACTAGACACACATTCACTTTTGATTCAGGAAATACAGTCACATGCCTCTAGTGGCTCAGGCCAGAAGCTGGGGGGCACTAGAGCAAGGCTCACTGGCACACAGCTAGCATGGGCTATGTGTTCGCTTCCTCTTCCTGCTGCCCCTGAGGTTTCTAGGATTTGCAGTCCAGAATCACAGGAGCAGGATTATGCAGGATTGCTCATCATCACTTCCTCTTTGTGCTTCCAGTTACCCCTGGGATTTGTAGTCCACAGTCACAGCCAGCAATAACTTTCAGTAAGTTTAGTAGGGCTGAGCTTCCCTGTACTTGGGGGGGAAGTGTACCCCCACCCCAGACCCCAGCCAGGGTTTGCCTGGGGGGAGGGGGGGAAGGAGTGGCATCCCTGCCTCCTCCCCACCCCCAACCCTTCTCTGCTGGAGCAGACAGTACAGCCCAGCCCAGGGCTGGAAAGCATGCTGGGGGAACTCTGATTTAACTTGAACCAGGAAAGGGTCTGGGACAGAAGTTTATTAAACTAGTTTGACCCAAATCAGTTAAATCTCATACTATATTCAAACTAGATTTATCTTAAACCAGTTTCAGCCATTTTGAAACCAGTGTATGTACACCGAGCTTCTGTTCTGCTGCAGGTTTGAACCAGTTTCTAATTACTTAAACTGGTTTACATGCAACTTCTGTCTCTAGCTCAAAGAACAGCAATCACTGCTTTCAGTTTCAGCTGTGGAAACTCAACACTTCTATAAATCAGGCTCCAGTCCACAACCTTTATACACTCAAGGCACCCTTCGACAGATTCAAGATACCCCCTCAGAGAATGCAAGTTCTTAGTTTTCATTCATTTTTTACTACAGAAAAATAAAGCAATTCTTCTGTAGCAAAGAACTTAGATCACAACAAGTCAGAACATTTTTGACACTATCGATTTCTTTTTGAAATCTCTGGGTTTCTCTCATGAGCATGGATTCTGATTTTCTCCATTTAAAAATCCAAAATTCTGTTAAAATCCCAAAAAGTTGCATTTTCCCATAATTAAAACAAAACACTGCTATATTTATAGGTATCAGCTGAACACAAGTGTTTTATTTAGAATACACACACACACACATATGCACACAAATATACACACATATATATACACACACACACACACACACATACACACACACACATATACACACACACACACATATATACACACACACACATATATACACACATATATACACACACACACATATACACACACATATACACACACACACACATATACACACATATATATACACATACACACACACACACATACACACACACACACACACATACACATATACATACACACACACACATATATACACACACACACATATATACACACATATATACACACACACACATATACACACACATATACACACACACACACATATACACACATATATATACACATACACACACACACACATACACACACACACACACACATACACATATACATACACACACACACATATATACACACACACACATATATACACACATATATACACACACACACATATACACACACATATACACACACACACACATATACACACATATATATACACATACACACACACACACATACACACACACACACACACATACACATATACATACACACACACACATATATACACACACACACATATATACACACATATATACACACACACACATATACACACACATATACACACACACACACATATACACACATATATATACACATACACACACACACACATACACACACACACACACACATACACATATACATACACACACACACATATATACACACACACACATATATACACACATATATACACACACACACATATACACACACATACACACATATACACACACACACACACACATACATACACATATACACACACACACACACACACACACACACACAGATAGTATATTTAGAATTTTAAAGCAATTTGGAAGCCTACCAGTACCTCAATCATTACAATCAAATAAATTCTAAATACCTATAAAGGTTAGTGTTTGAAATTTATTTTTTTTTATCATGCAAAATCAGAGCTCCCCCTGCCCTCTTCACTTACCCTTCGTTCACCAGGAAGTAAAAGGAATTACATACTTATCCCAAATCAAATATCATAAATCCAGGACACTCAGAGGTAAGGTTAACTTTAGAAGCAAGTAAAATATCTTACAGATATAGAAATGCAAAGTTAAGGCACCCAAACAACTGTAAACCTTCCTTGTAATAAGGAAAGGGAGGGGCTATGGCAGGCAGGAGCTGTGGCTCTGACTGTGGTCCAGAGCCTAGGGAAAAGGGGGAAGTGACAGGCTGTAGGGACTGCAGATCAGAAGCAGAGGTGAGGAAGGGGCAGAGGCGGTGAGGGGGCAGGCAACAGGGGAACCACTTGCCCCCCACCCCCAGATGCCTGACCTCTTCCCACTGTTCTCCCTATTGTAGCAGTGGAAGGGGACAAATGTAAGACAACCCTCTGATAATGAGATTCTATATACCTGGAAAATTATAACACATTTTAAGATCTTCCATATACAGAATCCAATTATCAGCAAGTTGGCTTAAATTCAGGGCTCAACTTGGATTTGGGTAAATATGGTAATATTATGGAGACATCAGCATTAAATCTCCTAAAGAACATTCGTTTTTCATATACAAGATAGATTTTAAATCCCCCTTAGATTTAGAGGTAAATACTGTCTCTTACTAACACTGGTTAACCTAAAGGTTAACTTCTGACTTTTCCCAAAATACAAATCTTAGACAATTTAACAGTCTTATCAACCCAAGAAGTGACTCATTTTTTAAATGTAGTGCTGGGGTCTTCAATTTTAGGTTCCTTTTACTTATAAATTGCTTCATTTAAAACCATTCAAAATATTTACATAAGCTTAGATAGAAATATCAGCTATAGGGTGGTTTTTAAAACAAATAAGTTCCTCACACTATTCCTCAATATTTTCTGATGAAAAGGAATATTTTTTTACACCGTAAAATACTATATAGAATATTTTATATGGAACTCCGCAAGAGACAGAGTAGAGGTGAGAAACAGTGCATGCCCTGTGAAGCTCCAAGTTCCCCAAAAGCAAATGCCAGGTGTCATTATAACACTGGCATCCTACAGAGTAGGCAATCACTTCAGAAAAACTTCATTTCTGAAGTTAAAAGACCTTTGTGGAAAAAATAGCATGGTGATTACACAAGAAAACAGATTCATCTACTACAGTGTATATGAAAAGACATAAACAAAGACGGTTGTGGAAGGGAGGCATATTCTTCCAATGCTTAACATCACTGCTGAGTACTGAATACTAAAGTAAGGCTGAATGTGCAGTAAATATTTAACTCTCATGGAACAAAACAAGTTACTCAACTTCATTGTTTCATTGTTTTTCTTGCACATACTCCATTTTTTCCAACATCTTTTTAAAATTAGGATCACAAGAATTAATAGCAATATTCCACTCTCTCTTTCACCAACACCATATACAGAGGTATAATCATCTCTCTATTCCCCTGTTCATGAAGGATCACTTTGCCTTTTTTGCCATATCATCATACTCAGAGCTCAAATTATGTTGCTTTTCTATTAGACCTTAATTACTCTTCTCCAGGATCATGGTTGAAGATACAGTCCTCCTTTCTGCAGGTTTGGCTTGTTTTGTGGGGGGGAGCGGGGGGCAGGTCTATTCAAATAAATATCTAGATATCTCATATT